AAATGATACAGCAGGAAAGGGTGCTACCCAGAAAGGCTGTTGGAACTGTGGAAAGCAAGGACATATGAGGAGCCAGTGTAAGAAGAATATTACCAACAAGTCAGCCTCAAGGAGACCAGTAGTGGTTGGTGTTGAGGGACACTCACCAACCCCCATCGTGAAAGTCCCAACAGCTAGATGTAAAATTCCAAACACACACAGTGTCTATGTGACAGGAAAGCTGGATGGCCAAAGGTGCAACTTTGTCATAGATTCTGCATCTCAGTAAACACTTGTGAGCATCAAGGTGTTAGATCACGAAGGAGTACCAGAAGCTTTGTGGTGTGACAGAACATTCTGCAAGGTTGTGGGGACCAGTGTGCGTAACTATTGAGCTCATGGGCATAAAGGACAGACACAAAGTATACTTGGCTGACATTGAAGACGAATGCGTATTAGGGTTGGACTACTTACTACCGAGGAAGTTTGTAATTAATTTTGATAAAATGACGTTTGGGAACAACAAAGGCCATGTTCCGGTAACTGTTAAAGGAGAGGTTGAACTAATTAGGTGTTATCAAGCTGAAGTCAAAGTGACTGAAGGAGTTGATGATGGTGAAATGGATCCAGGTATAGATTTTAAATCAGAGCATGAAGCCACTGGATACACTCCAGCAAAGTTGATGTATGGTCGTGAATTTCAGTTGCCAGTGGATCTGTTAACAGGACGCCCACCTTATGAATAGTTGCCTGAGAATGTGTCAGAGTTTGTGAAAGTGTTATCGGAAAGGATGGATGATAGTTACCATCAAGTGCGTACAAACTTGAAAACGTCTGCTGATTCAATGAAGTTATCTTATGATAAGAGATCTACTGAAGTCAGCTTTGAACCAGGAGACAAGGTGTGGTTGTATAATCCCAGGAAGACCAAAGGGAAGTCTCCTAAGTTATCTTCTCCATGGGAAGGCCCATATAACATAGTGGATCGTCTCTCATACGTGACTTTCTGGATAAAATGTGGTCGGCGAGGTAAGCCAAAGGTGGTGCATGCCAACAGGCTTTGGCGTTATCACAGTTCAGGACATTTCAGTTGGGACGAAGTGAACAACAGAACAAATGACTCTGCTGAAGACGTGTCACCTGAAAAAGCCACTGTCGAAGAAGGAACTCTACTCGGTTTTGAGAAGGGAAACAGCGAAGCCCTTGATGAAGTTACTACCACTGATGTGACTGTTACCGACGATAGGACGTTTCCTGATGAAGCAGATGAACCCCACCTGAAGCAGAAGCCAACGAGACAGAGACCAGTACGGAAGAAGATACGTCCCCTAAAATTAAGAGACTTTGTTGAATTTTAATTTTGTGTTTGTAATATCTGTACATTCAATTAAGTTATTGTTTATTGGTTTAGTGTAAGTGGCTATTGTTCAGGACGAACAATACTGAGGAAGGGGCAGTGTTACGACAGCGGGGGTCACGTGATGCTAGTAACACGTCATATTCTCGAAGGTTCGTGAATGCTCGAGCTTTTACTAGATTTCGGTATTCTTCTATATATAAGACAGTCAAGACGTGACGGCAACAATGCTGTGTAATTGAACT